CTGGATGTGTGTGCAACAGGACCGCCTTCCATCAAGAGACGTGTGCTCAAGATCCTCAACCTCCGCAATGCATCAGTCAAGACCATCAAGAATATCATGAGAGGTAAGTGTTGCTTCACCACCTCTTTATTCTTGGTTTTCTTCCTCTTCTTCATTTTCCTCAGTATTGTCGTTGTCTTCCTCCTGCTCCTCTGCCTTTCTTTTTCTTTTTTCTTTTTTTTTCTTTTTCTTTTTTTTTCTTTTTTCTAAGCATAAGATTTAGATGATATAGGTGGATGAAATTAATAAGTTAATATTTTGAGATGAATGGGTACTTGAAATAGTCCACAAAATTATCTTTGAAGTACCAAGCATCACCACCTGCTTCGTTTTCAATTTGCATGCAATATTTCTTGAGTATCCCTTTCCCTCTCTCTTGGTAATTAGATATTTGCTATGCAGGAACTTTGCTAGTAGGCTCATTGAAAAGGTACAGTTTCAAATAAAACACATTGTTCTCTCTCCTCAGAATATGCCAGTAACCTAGGAGATGGAACGAACTCAGACGCGCAGGCAGAAGAGCAGGACAGAATACTCGACTTGCTTGATAAGTTCCAAAACACGTGAGACCAACTGAGGCCAGAGTGCTAGGGTGCATGCTGAAGGAGGAGGAGGAGGAGGAGAAGGAAAAGGAAAAGGAAGAAGAGAAGGAGGAGGAGGAGGAGGAGGAAGAGGAAAAGGAAGAAGAGAAAGAGGAGGAGGAGGATATGCAGCTATCTCCTTGGACAGTGAGACTTCTCTTTTAGGCTGAATGAGTTGTGGTTTTGTTAGATTGAGAACTTTTCCTCTCAGACTGGTTCACTTCAGAAGTACAAAGATGCTTATTAGAAAAGAAAATCCATCACTACTATGCTTTTTATTTTTCTTTAATGTTTTTCGTCATCATTATTATTATTATTATTTTTATTGATCATCATTACTGTTACTGTGCTCTTGTTACAATCATTATTACTAAATTCCATTGTTATTATTATATTCATTGTTATTACCAGCCGTGTTATTATTAGGCCTAATGTGCCCAACAATTCTTTAATGTTCAGAGAGACAAGACACAAGGAGGCAGAAAGAATATCTCTTCTCCTTCCTAATTCAGTCTGTTATGATTAGTTTTTTTAAGGTTTATTCTTAGATATGTCTTTTTGCTTATATTTCTTTTTCTTTTTTATCCCCCATTCTTATAAATATATATCTATGGGTACGTTTTTTCTTCTTTCCTAGATTTCATTCTGTCTGTCATGTCGTGTCTGTGAAATTCTGTCCGAGCGTCACCAGTAGTCGGTAGTCATTTTTCATTTAGGTGTGAAAATCAAGAGCATTTTTAAATTATGTTGATGATCAAAATGAAAAAGTAACAGTAGTTATCGCAGTTTTTCCTTATCCCTTTGTAAAAGTAAAAGATTATTTTCAAAATTCAGACCACACAATCATTATATATTGGAACTTTCAATGTATGTATGTGTATATATGTATAGATGTATATATATAAATATATATATATATATATATATATATATATATATATATATATATATATATATATATATTATATAATATATATGTATATGTATAAATATATACATATATATATATATATATATATATATATATATATATATATATATATATATATATATATATATATACATATATATATATATATATATATATATATATATATATATATATACATACATATATATATATATATATATATATATATATATATATATATATATATATATATATATATATATATATACACATACATATATATATGTACTTATATATTTGTGTGTGTGTGTGTGTGTGTGTGTGTGTGTGTGTGTGTGTGTGTGTGTGTGTGTGTGTGTGTGTGTGTGTGTGTGTGTGTGTGTGTGTGTGTGTGTGTGTGTACACACACACACGCATACATATATATATATATATATATATATATATATATATATATATATATATATATATATATATATGAATACATACATACTTATATATATGGTAAAAAAAAACACATTGCAAAAGCTATATGTGTGTGTGTGTGTCTATACATATGTATGTATATAAATGTATGATGTATACACACATACACACATTATATATTTATTATTACATATGCATACAGCATTCATCTAGAAAGGCAGTGAACAGTCACAGCCTGAAAGAGAGAAGACAGGGGGGGGTGAAGCAAGGGAAAGAATGAAAATCTGGTCCACTTTTTATTGGCTCAAAACAAACATTTTTTTCTTCTTATCTAAACTATATTACAGTCATCGTGATAGAAAACACCACACGAAATACAGACATAGCTAACCATTCATCCGTTAATCTCCAGAGTGACTATTACATAATGGCCAAATACATAAAAAAGTATTGGGGAAAATCAAGTTTTCTGTTAACAGGAGAGTATTTTTCCTGGCATTATTTTTTTATCTTCCATTTTTTTTTTTTTTCAATATACATGATTATAAAGTGGAGTAACATATGCTAGGCCTCATTTTTACTTGTCCTTAGGCATGAATAATATATTAGATTTTGTTTTAGAGTGAGTGATGTTGCATCTGTAACATCATTGGCTATGATATTAGGGACTTTTTCTCCGTGCTAGTTATTGTGGCACTCACATGGTCTTCAAGGGCCAAGGAGGTGCAAAAACGAGAGCCAGCCTGTGTCACACTCACATATATATACATACATATGTATATATATATATATATATATATATATATATATATATATATATATATATATATATATATATATATATGTATATATATATATATATATGTATATATATGTATATATATGTATATATATGTATATATATGTATATATATGTATATATATATATATATATATATATATATATATATATGTATATATATGTATATATATGTATATATATGTATATATATGTATATATATGTATATATATGTATATATATGTATATATATGTATATATATGTATGTATATGTATATATATGTAAATATATATATATATATATATATATATATATATATATATATATATATATATATATATATATATACATTGCATCTATATTTGGCACCCATATCACTAATAAGATAAGATTTGGCACAAGTCTCTCTGTACTTCTTTAAAAATTGCACAAAGTGGGAACTGTGACTAGAAAATAGAACATTTGTGACATTAGCAATAGTGATCCTTAGGTAGGGTGTTGATAAGGCTTATCTTACTTGTTGTAGGAGTAGAAAAATCAACCTTATTAAATTTCCCAAAAGACCCAGTACCACTGTGTGTGACTTCATGCTATAAGAGCTGCCTCTATAATATGCCAGTGATAGTAAGTAACATCTGACTTATTTCCAAAAAATCTGGGTAATTCATAGAAAATGTAGGAAGATGAGACTGAGAGACAAAGGATTAAAATATAGATGAAAAGTTATGAAACTTTTTACATCTTGGACGAAATATGCACCATTGTATTACATACATTTTTATCTATATGAAAGATCTTTATATATTTACAATGCAAATAACTGATGAGTAATCCACTGGCCATATTGCTCTATGCTTACTGATACAATACAAAGTATATAATATGGATATCTATATAGTTTTGTTTCGTCCAATATGTCAATTTGAAGACATTTCTATATATTAATCTTACTCTTTTGTGCAAAAGTACTTTTATCTATGATTTACTGAACTATTTGTGTTGTCATAGTAGGCTAAAAGATAAAAATGTAATCATCTGACATGTTAAATGTTATAATATATTTACTGAAGCTCTGGAATTTGAGAAAGTGCTTAACCAGTATTTCAATTGAATAGTTTGATTGTTATCCGCGTGTCCACATACTGTGACTAAGCTAGTCCATTGGAAATCACCTCTTCTCCACTCCAAGAGAAAGAACACTGACAGAACTCAATGTATTCATCATATGGAACAACAAAAAAGTCGGGCAATGAAGCTGCTCACCATAATCTGAACTAAACTGTGCATATAGGAGGGGAAGGAGGGCCATACAGTCAGCCTTTCTTAAGAACTGTCACCTCCAAGAAAAAATCCGTCCAGCTGGTGGGTCTAGTCCATCACCAGTTAACAGTCCATTAACATTTTCCTTCCTTCCCTCTCTCTGTGTCCCTCTCTCTCTCTTTCTCTCTCTCTCTCTCTTTCCATGTGAGCTTGGAATTAATATGGATGAAGAGTGTAACTACAAGGGGAAGAATCAAATCCAAATGAAAGGGATGAGAAAGTACGAAAATACTGTGATGATCGAGGAATTATTTCTTTCCGCTTGTGCAGTGAACATTCAGCGTCTCGCACACAAGTGAGAGAACTTAAACAATAATAAACAGACTAGATACCTTACTAGGGATAACCTATGTGAACTACAGTTATTCTCTTCATTTTATATTTCAAGATTAAATAAATAAACATAAACTTCACAGATTACAAAAACATATATTTTTTTAAGAGAAAACTGCTTAAATAAATTGAGTTGACTAGTATTTTATTTTATTTTGTAAGTGACCGTATTGGAACTGTATTGCTCTGCTAAACTATTAACCTTGAGTGAAATATGAATAAACATTTAAGATTCTACCGACACATAATTCTTAACATTTTAAAAATATCTTCCTGTAGCATTAATTGTTATTCTTTTGGACAAGAGATTTCACAAACGGTTTGGAAAAGAACCAAGATAACAGCTTAGCTTGTAACCTAATTGACAAAAAATGATATAAAAATAGCTTGCTGTCGACGCAAATCAAACAAAACATGCGAAATAAATTACATATTATTATATATGTTTTTCTTTCTCTTTTTAATATACTTTATTATCTTAAGGGGAGGGGATGCTGCATGCATCTCATGCAGAATTAACAAGGCTCAAGTTTACATATGTAACAAGTATAAAATAATCTTTTAATGCATAAGAGCATTCAATCTCATTAAAATAAACCCTTGTCATGGGAAAGTGCATAGCTGTCATGCATCAGTGACCTCCTGATGAGGCGACAAAGGTTTGTGCAAAAATAAAATTATCAATGAAGTTAACTTGGACAAACCACGCAGAAGTGTTTCAGCTTCAACCAAGGAGAGAAGTGAAGCAAGTGCGCTGTGGAAGCCGGGAAGTGTCCAGCCGCACAGGCTCCGAGGCTTCAGTGTTGTATGGATGGAAGTGCAAAGACTCATTGAGTGTTGATGTCAGTTGAAATGAATGACCCAATTACAGGCTTCATGAATTTAATTTAGGTTTGCTTGGAAATTCCACTTGTCACTAAGGCTTTCACACACACACACACACACACACACAGGTGTGTGTGTGTGTGTGTGTGTGTGTGTGTGTGTGTGTGTGTGTGTGTGTGTGTGTGTGTGTGTGTGTGTGTGTGTGTGTGTGTGTGTGTGTGTGTTTTAGGGTGCATGGATGTGTGGGCATGTGCACATGTGTGAACATGTGTGTGTGTATGTGTGTTCACATATATAAGAAGTTGTCAAGTGATCTCCACCTCGTCAAGTGTGAATTTGATTGCCTTTTTCCCCCCTTTTTCCATATTTTCTTAAATTGGTTGTTCAAGAATGAAGAGAAATGGGATTCACATAATCTCCAAAGACAAATCTACCTTGAGAAAAAATAACACAATTATTTAAATGTTTGTGTTGCCTGCAAACACACACAAAAGACTACATTTTGCTCCGCCTAAAATATTGCTAATATAACCATTTTTTTCTTTCTTTTTTCATTTTTTAATCTAAGTTGATTTCCTTGTTACATTTTTGTCACAAATAACCATCGATACTAACCTATAGTTGCCCATCTATAACTAAAATACATGACTAAACTTAAACAACAACTTTTTTGTCTATACATATATATCCAAACATTGTCTGTCTTATGGGGGAAATAGATAAAAATGAAGAAAAGAAAAAAATAAATAGAGATCCTCCATTTTCTGACTTCTCCAAGCTTCTGCACTGTCTGTTTGTGTCTTAAATAAAACATAAAATGGGGTCTGTTATGTGCAGTGCTTGCCTGCCACGACCTGCACACCTGTGATCACACAAAAGGTTCTTAACGAAATGGCAAGAGGAGGCTGGTAGCATGTTCCCTCTCTTTCTCTAGGCAAAAATGTGGAAAAAAAAAAATCTCTCTCTCTCTCTCTCTCTCTCTCTCTCTCTCTCTCTCTCTCTCTCTCTCTCTCTCTCTCTCTCTCTCTCTCTCTCTCTCTCTCTCTCTCTCTTTACAAAATAGATCTCCAGTCTTAGAACCTGTCATAAATATTATGTTATTATGTACTGCTTCACACGTGTGGGTTGTAATAATGACTGGTGGCCGGAAGAGGAAACACAACTGTAGTTGGCCCTCGAGAATGG